GAGACATGTTCGGAGGTAACATGCCAGCGCTAATCCAGAATAGTCTAAACTAAGCTGCCCTGGGTGGTAATGAATTGAGTCGAGAGAGAGAGCGGTCACGTTGATAAAGTGGCCAGTGGTGTCGTGATGTAACACGATAGCAATAGCGATGATAACATGGAGCGGAGGAATCACATTTGAAGGTGGCTGCAACTGTCCCCATCTGAAGAGTACAACACGGAGTTGTTTAGAGCGCGCCGCGAGCTACGCCAACGGCCCATCAGTCTTCATGACAGCCGGGCCGACTAAAGGGAACTGCAACTTTACAGTCTGTGTCTGTTGCACAGCACTGAGAGGCCCATGCTTGACTTAAATGTATGGGAGTCGATGTAGAACTCAGATGTGGCAGCCTTCAAGAGACGCAGATATGAGAGCATCTGCACATGTTTTAAAGAAAATGATTTGGATACAATTCAGCCCAAGTAAGATCCCTCTGTTGTTAATGTGCTGCAGCAGTTTGCCCCACATCACCCCGGGAGCACAGACACTGCTTCTCAGAGCCGTGTGCACACTTTGTTCAGGGCACCCTGTCGTCCGCCTCACCCTTTTTTTTCTTTGGGCTAAAAGGGCCAGTCTCCCTTCATCCGTCTTCCCTTTTCTCTCTATTCTCTCACCACAGCTCTGCTCTGCTGTAAGGTCTTTTTTATTATTTTTTTCGTGTAACCTTTATTTGTCCAGGAGAGGGTTCTGCTGAGCACGCACGCTCTATTCCAGCTTTGCCCTTCTTCGCTTTCATAGTCCTCTGCTGTATATGCTGCCCCCGTAAAATGGAAGTTCCTCTATTGTTGGCCCGTGAGCAGCTGTTCAGCACCTCACACAAGGGTACGTCTGAAGTAGTTGTTGAAGAAGGTTTACTCATTCACTTTGAGCCACTTCTTCTCAAAGCGTTAGGCTCCTGCTGTGCTCCTTTGGCTGGTCTGGAAGCTGTCTGGTTTGTTTCCTAGTCACATAAAATTCTCTTGTATGTTTTCTGTGGTTCTGCTGGGTTTTTTTTCTATTCATTGTTTGGTCTATGAAATGTTAAAAAATGGTCAAAAATGGCACAATTTCTTAATAAGCCAGGATTTCACAATTTGCTTGTGAATTTGCTCGTTTTGTCCAATCAACAGTCGATAACACAAAGATATTGACTCTACAATGATGTAAAACTGAGAAAAGTAGTAAATAATCCAATTGGAGAATACTAGGAATACCATGGCATTGAAAAGCTGTCACAAAAGAAAGTTTGGGATTTTAATCTCCGCCAGGCCATTGACAGCTTACTCCTATTTACCAGCCGGTAGTTACCGCAAGTGATCCACAACTGCCTCATGATTCTTAATACCCAATTTGGTACCACGGTAAAAAATAAAACCCATGAACTTCAACAAACAATCCATTATTACTGTTTGCATGCTGATTTTTGCAAATTTATCATGAAAATACATCGTATAAAGATACTAATTTACCTTTGACCAATATTCATTTCAACAGAATGGAGCTTTAACGCATTCTAAAGTAGCTCGATGCAACCTCCGAATGTTAGCTGTTAGCTCCATGATTTAGCCAGGAGCAGCTAACAGCCAACGCTACTAGCTCTCGTCCTGCCAGTTTCATCACAGATTTGTTGTTCACAAAGTAGCATGATCAGGGGAATGTTCTATCGTCCCCTGGGACTTCTGGGCCCTGTTAGTCTCGAGCCCTGATCCTCAGATCGACTTGGTAATGAAGTATCGGTTCTCGTGACTTCCCTAAACCCGCCCTTCTCACAAAGCAATGCATTGACAGGATGATGGAGAGACTAGAAGACTGAAAAGATTGAAAAGATGGCAGACAGTGCTCTGAATTAATACAATTAAATGAAAGATAAAACTTGTGGTTCATTGTTTTTAAATGCAGTCTCTTAATGCAGATGTTTTTACAACTTTTGATGGCATTTAAAGTTTCAGTCTGTCAGTTTTTGTGCAGAGTGGATTGATTTCTTGGAAAATGAAAGTCAATTTAAAACTTTCTTAGCAACAAGGCACTGAGGCACGCGTATGGTTTTGTGAGTAACCACTTCTAAGATGCATGACGTCTTATGGATTTTGAGGAAAGCAGCTCAGCACAGCTGTAGGCTGCTGAGCTTTATTTGTTGGGGTGAGAAACGTTTAAAGACTCTGGAGGCGAGAGGCTGACATTCTCAGCCAACGTTATAAGCCCAGCGGTGATGATGATGATGTATCCCATGAGAGCGTTTGACTTCCTCGCTCACACCTAAAGACATTTAACTATGGCCGCCGTCACTCACCATGTGACAATTTAGCGTCACGGCTGAACCTCTCAATGTGTCTGAGCACGATGTAGTTTTTACCGATGCAGTTACTCATTCCCTCGGAAACGATTTGTCTTTGACCTTTGGTTGAGTTGCTGTTATTTTTTATGATCTAAACCCCTAAGTAGTGGTATTTGCTCTTAAAATATATAAATCAGCTTAGTGACTTAAAAGCTTCATTTCAGCAGGATTTCTTGCTGATGCTTCAGGCCTGGATTTCTTTTTCTTTTTTTGCGACATCAATTCATTGAGCTGTAATTAACACCAGCTTTCATTGTCCTTCCATGACATCGCTCCGGGGACAAGTACAAACTTAATAATTCCCTGTAAATCCGCAGCTACCAAATTATTTGAAGCTGTTTACAATTTTGGAATGTGTTTTCCATGTGCTTTCTCCCCCAAAAGCCCCCCCCCCCCTCACTGTCCTTTCCTTCTCTCTGACATTATTTTTTTTTTACTGTCTGTGTGCTACTGTGCTCCCAAATGAAGATACAGTTTATTGCTCAGGTTTAATTACAGGGTTCCTCCATCCCTCTCTTCTTGTCGTTATTTTTTAATTTTTATGGCCACGCTACAATCTGCAAACTCATGTCAGTGTTTCTAAAGATCGATGATTTTGTTCTCTTCTTCCACTACCTTTCAAAGTATTTCTTCAGAGATGTTATGGTTGGTAATAAAGCTGCTCCAATCAATGTTTTTATATTAGCAATGTATTAAATGACTACATGTCAGCTCTATGGTGTTGTAAGGCTTTGTTTGACACCCCTCAAACAGGTAGCTGTTTTCAGCTAACGGTCGTGACAAGCCCACTGTACGCTACCTGTTTAGCACCAAACAACAGACAACCAGGTGGTGAAGAAAGTGCAGCATTTAGCAGGTAAAGAGGCTCTAACGAATCAGAAGAGAGGGAATATTGGACTTACATTCATCAGGTGGACACAGGCACATCTCCAAATCAATGCTAATGTTCCCCTGTGTCTGCTGGATGTGTTTGCTACCACGTTTCCAAGGCTGTTGTTTTTTCCAGTTTAAAATAAATGGCAGTTTCATCTCCATCTCTGGTTGATATCTCACAGTAATGATTTGACCCATGACGGGCCAGAGCAGGTTTAACTGCCTGGCTGGGTTCCTCTCCAGGGCCTGTTGGTGCCATTCTGTCCGTGCTACTGTCATGGGTTAACTGGTTTCTTCCCAAAATCCAAGAGCAGCTCATTTTGCAGTTTACAATGATAACGCTGGCAGACTTATTGCTGAAAACCCTTATTCACTTTTGAAACAATGACTCCTTGGATTTCATGAGTTGACAAAAGCTGACTTCTCCTTACTAGCCGCTCATTTTACCGGCTTACATCGCAGTTGATGCCATGTTTTTAGATTTCGCCGGTAGCTAGCTCGCTAACTATGCTAACGTTAACGCCACGCGTTGGTTGAAAACGCACTCATCAGCTGTCCTGAACCTGTAAGCTAGTAGCAGCTTTCAGATAATGAATACCACCTCTTTGGAGCATATACTGCTGACCTGCTAGCTAAAGATCCCCTTAGCATGGGTCTATGAGGGTCTCTGAGCATTAAACGCACAGGAAAGGCTTTTTTAGATTCTCTGATGAGTGTTGGACTGAGTGTCTGTACCACACACTATCTTGCCCCCCCAAAACCTTTTATTTCATCTCGGGCCGCTACTTTACAACCGTGCTTATAAATGGTCAACTGAAGGTCAAGACCCCTCACGGGCCCCCGACAGGCTCATCAGCCCTCGGATAAACACGGAGAGAGAGAGAGAGAGAGAGAGAGAGACAACATCCCACTTGGCTACACACGGAGACAATGATGAAGTCAGACAGCGTGTGTGTGTGTCTGTCTGTGTGCGTGTGTGTGTGGATCACTCTCTCTGACACACACTCGCACTGAGCTGGCGGGGTTATGGAGATAAGGTGCGCTTTATTTAGCGACGTCAACACGATGGAGCCTAAATCGTGACATCACTGCCGGCTCCACACGGAGATGCCGAGCGGGTGTACAGATTTTACAGCGGCTTGTTTTGTCTCTTAATACAACAGAGATAAAGCTTTTAGAGACAGCGTTAAAATGGGAAAAGGTGTCTCTCCTTTGAGAGTTTTGAGCTGTAGCTGTCAGAATGCGTGCTGAAGGAGTTGGAAGAAGAATAAATTACAAAGCAAATGGACTCTGACGTTGATAAGGTTTTAATAAGCGTCTCTGAACAATGTGTCTTTTACAGACACAAGAAGCGACTTAACTTTGTTTTGATTTTTTCTTTTTGTCTTTTGGCCTGGCTGCTATCCATCTTTGTTTTGCTTTTCATCTCAGCAGACAGGGAAGATTATGCTATTGTTGCACAAGAGTGTCGGCTAAATGCCTGAAACACGAAATGTAAATGCAGGGGGAAGAATATTCTTCTCCTTGACAGGGTTGTTGCTCTTTTATGCTGATTTGGACAGCGTTCTAGCTCGGGATACGTTCCCCCGACATCCATTTGTGTTTTTCCGTTTGCTCTGCTTATATGCGCGGGGAGCTCATCGCCTCTGTCTTCGGCTGTCAGGAATGCTGTCACTGCTGAGGCCTAGTTCTTGCTCACTGATTATTCTTTATGATACTGTATTTTATAATGTCTCCTTCCTCCCCCCCCGCTCCTGTCTTTTTCTTGCCTTAGGATCTGAAGAAGGTGCTGTCTTTCCCCCCGTACCCTGGGGAGTTTCTGCACCCGGTCGTGTATGCCTGCACGGCGGTCATGTTGCTCTGCCTCTTCGCCTCCATCATCACGTACATAGTGCACCACAGGTAAGAAGCAGGCGCCGACTCTATAAACTTCACACAATGGCCATTGACTTCCTTTCCACATGCGGACACTCGGGCGGACGCGTCTGTAATCTCCCACCTTCATGGTTTTGCAGTTTGTTTTTTTAGTTCCCGCGTGTGAGTCACATGCTTCAGGGCTGGCATAAAGCCCTGCCGCCTGTCTGACTAAGAGGATCTAAAACACATGCGCAGACGTGTGCGCGTGTTTCAGACAGTCATAGCATGCTTCTAATGGATTCCTACGGGGCATTCAGGCCACCTTTACTATTCCATATGGAGGCGAAGACCGAGGATGAGCCGTGTGGCTCCTCCGGTTTTTGCACTGTGGCATCCGTCCGCCGTTATTAAAGCAACGGGAGCCTGACTGGCGTTTTATTTCCGCACAGCAATTCATCATCTGTTTTTATTGTCGAGCATCACTCACTTTATCACGTCCGTGGCATTAATGCTCTGTTATTGTAATAGCTCTGCATCCATTTTGATACGTAGGAAATGTCTCAAATGTCCCATTTTCAAAAAAAAAAAAAACGCAAGAACAATATTTTATTTACAGAATAACACAGTTAACTCAGACAGATATATCTGCTTTTATTGATGTTTTATTGAATCCAAGCAAAGCAAACGCTTACAAAACCGTGTGAATGCACAGCAGCACATTGCGGTTTGCATCCGTTTGTGACACCTGGGACAGAGACAGGGTGCGTCCTTCTGCAGTCAGACGGAGATGACAGCATCTGGGGCTCCAAACAGCAGCATCGCTTACTGTCGTCTGGCACTGCAGTATTGACTGGAGAGAAAAAACAAAAAACTGCAACACAGACAGGAGCAATTTCAAAATGGCAGAAGATTGAGATTTGTGATTCAAGTCGAATGTAAACTGGGTATCAGGATGTTTGTGCAGAATTGGTGTATTATTAAAAACAACAATAATAATGATACACAACCATGATCCGTAGGGTTTAAAGACATTTTGATAGGAATGAGGTGAAAACTTTAATCAAGGGCCTTTTTTCAAAAAGAAATGGTGGTAATGCACCACTCCATTTGTGATGGAAAAAACACAAATTCTCCAAAAAAATCTTCCTTTTAAAATGAATCTTTGAATAAACATGGATGCTAAACCACAGTGGTTGCCAATGCTGATACATAATACTGGAGAGACATGAAAGTGCTGTCTTAAAATGTATTTTATTAGACTTGGTAGGAATATCTTACAAATAAGGAACAAGATTACAGATCTACTAAAATAAGATTCAGCATTTGAACTTGCACCCCATAAGTCACATTGGAATCGGACATTTCTGAAAAATAATATATACATATATATTTAGGCCTACATGTATGATGCAGTGGTGCTTTTTTCAGTTTTTGCCACATGTATAAATATTACTTTCAGAGCAGACTGTATGTTTGCATGCACATCAGTATCCCATTCTTACCGTATTATATGGAACATAGTTATTCATATCCCTGTATACATGAACACAGCAATAAAAAGGAGTTTGCATGCATCCTTTATTCTCCAGCTAGCATGTCCACGTTCTTTTAAAAGCGGGTTGACGTGTACACATGGGTAAAGCGTAACCTGGATACTCCAAAATACGACACGTGTGCGTGTAAACGCACTCATTCGTCACAAAGTGCTTCTCAGAGCAAAAAAAACGCATTCATTCCAGTTGAAACCAGAACGAGAACAAGCCCATATTTAAGACATAAGGCCGGAGCTTTCACGGTGTCTGTCACACTCGAGGGGTTCCCTCTCAGTGACGCTCACATTAGCGGAAAGCCAACACCTCCTCGCCCTCCACACCTCCCCCCAGGCACTCCCCAGCACTGAAACACATCTCTGTTTAGCAACACTTTGGTTATGTAGTATCACTCCAGCTGACTGACAGTATCCCAGCTGCGAAGCGCACGGGACTGCGTGTTAAATGGGCAGAATGCGAGGGAGGCTGTTCGAGAATTTGTCACTTTCTCCCCTCAGTTAACAGACGCACGCACACGTGCATAAATACATGCGTACAGGATGTGCTGTTGGTTCTGTCTCTGCCAGCGAGATAAGCCAAGATAAAAATCTGATCTGGGATTAGGGCTGCAATGCTGATGTGTGATGTGTTTGCCTCGTAAAAAACATGATGGTGGATTTCATCCCACTCCTCCTTTGAACCCCAAATCCTTTGAACCCAATTGACACGATTTGTGTCAAGTGTTCCCGGAGTTCTAGCACCGATGTCACGCACACGCTGATGGAATCAGAGGGAGTCGGTCTTTCCAAGTGGTCGTTGATGTTCCACGACAATAAGCGTCCATCAATCCACGGAGAATTCATATTGAAAGGAGGTTTCTTCAGATCACCTCACAGTTATCAAACTGATGACTTTTTCTTCCATTAAAAAAAAGCCATGCAGTTGATTGTTGTCTGGAGACGGAATGGTTGCAATTTTCTTCTGATTCCCAAGTCTTATTTGCTGATTCACAATTTCTTTCTAAGAACTATAATACACAGCGAGGCTCCAGATCATCCTTCCCGAAGTCAGTATAAACACTAATACATTCTAAACGTTATCCTTTTGCTTTCATCTGTTTGTTTTCATAAATACAATAAATGATGTAATTTCAGCCTCTTAAAGCTAGTGTTGGAAATGTAAACAGCTTCCTTCACTTATATCTATTTTACATTGCTGTGAAAACATCTCCTTCAACCAACTGTATTTATACACCTTTCTGGCCAAAAATTACATTTCGCAAGATTACATTTGAGCACATCATGACAGCGTTACAATTTACCTTGCTTTTTGATACTCTACTCTACTTATAGCTTGAACGCATCACAATCAAGTCAATGCAACCTTTGTACATCAGCTGTGAGCTCCGTGATAAACAGGACTGTGCTAGAGAGACACTCCATGCTGTCGGCACTGTGATTACTCTTGAGAGGCATGATGGGAATGAATAACAACACGATAAGATTCTGATTAAGTTAGTTGTTCCAAATGTTCTTAAGGTTGTCCCCCCCGCCGGTTATTTTGGACTTGAAGTTGTGACAAATTGCAAGCTTTATGCCTTCTTCACTCACGCCAAAGAACTTCTACGCCGACGACATGTTGTGTGTGTGGATGTGACCTTACTGTCTGTGCTGTTGCATGCCGAGGTAAAACGTGTGTAAAAGTAACCGGATATACGAGACATCTTTATTGTTATTATGGTTACAGGAACTGTAAGCAGCTGATACAGCATGACTTCCCCATGGTCCAGATTTACCAAAATATAAAGACATACTGCGTAGGCTAAAAAAAGATGCAGGCCCAGGTGCAACACTACGCTTTCTGTTTACAGCCAAAGCATGATGGGAATCTTGATGGAGGAAATCTTTAATTACTTGTAATTGATCCCATAAGAATGAGAAAAACAATAGGAGTGAAAAAAAGTTGTGTTATTGTTATAAGGATGAGTGTCATGTGCCTGTAATTAAAGGAAGTAAAAGCAGCGCAGAGTAATGGGGTTAATAATGCCTATCAACCAGAGTGTCGCCTGATTATGTTTACAGAAAAGAAATGCACATAAAGACAGTTAATACTGTCGTGTAGAGCTAGGGGCGATAGTTCAGTTCTGTCATTTATCAGCTTCTAGTGGAATCATAATGACAATATGAACATGTTTGTTTACATATTTTCCTTCCAAATTAATGATTCAAAAGCAGCAAAATAAAGATACTTAAAAGCTGCTCTAATCAACAGCAGAAGGCAGCTGTTTTCTGTGAAAAGCACACTGTACAACACCTGCTCAGCGCCCAACCTCAGACAAGCGGCTTGCCAGTAAACATAGTGGAACACTTTGCAGCTAAAGAGTCAGATATTTCCCTCAGGAGTGGGTGGAGACCAAAACAGAACTAAAAACATCGGACTTACATTTGGCAAGTCTGCAGGTACATGACTCTGAGTTGATGGTAATCCTGTGGTAAAGGGGTAAAGACCAGTAAAGTAAAGTAGGAATACAACAGTTATTATTATGTCATTGTTGTGTTTACAGCTTGCCGCAGGCCTCAAGCGGCTGTTTAAACTATATGTTGTTTTTTGTGACTTGCCACTGATTTCAGCCATAGAGCCCAGCCCTATTGCTGCCAGGATGCTCCCTTTCCTCCATCATAATTAGCATGAAACCACTTCCATTCCTCCATTTAACAGCCCTGCTACCTATGTTTTATGGGACGAATCAGCATGTTTGGAACATGTCTTCCGCCAATGAAACACACCTACCCATTGTATATTGTCATATCCTACCACAGCTTTATTGTAACTTACAGTTGGCTCAGCAGTGGGTGCAGGGGTGAGAGAGCAGATGCAGAGAGGACAGTTTTATCCCCCTCCCCTACTTACCTTCTGGGAGATGGGGAACTGGAGGGATGCCAGGTTAATGTACTTGACCCAATGAAATCCCACAGCAGAGCCTATGAAAACCCCCTTCCATGGAGGCCAGGAGCCGGCCTGATTTATGGCCTCCTTGCTGGATGGAGTTCAGCACTTGGAACCGTGGCAGAGGCATCGACAGCAGCAGCTTTAGCCCTCCTCCCTCCCCTCACACGGAGCAGCCCCAGACACGCCTCATAGCTCACTGCCGAGCCACCGCTTCATCTACAGTTGGCTCACGTGCAGCCGGGGCTCCGCTCCTCCATTTTGGGGAGCGGAGATTTCCATCACAAGGTTATATCATTTCAAATGGTGACAAGGCTGTGGCTGTATGGACGAAAAGGAGGGAGCTGACACACACGGAAAGTCATTAAAAGAATGGATGGTCCGCTAATTCACACAGTACGACAAAGATGTTGGTGTTGTCATGACCTGTTCAGCCGGTTTTCTAACAGCTGGGGTGGAAAATGGTAATGTGTGTTAAGTGGCCTGCCCGAGACTCTGTTTTCACTTTCACTGGGTACTCGTAGAGTTTGACCTTTTAAAAAGTCGTGGATGTTAAAACAGATTCTTTCTTTTTTGTTATGTCAGGAAAAACCTTCCAGTTCACACTTTACCCCCGTAAATCTGCCACGGGGGCAAAATAAGAAAATGTATCTTTATTAAAGTCAACCTTAAATTAGTAAATTGGGGCCACAGACTCATCGGCCTAATGTTACATGTTCTCACTGCTCCTGAGTTGTGTTTGTTCTACAATGTTCCCGCTGTTTCACAATGCCATCGTTTACAGTTAGTCATCAAGAGCGAACGCGGTTAGACCGTGCAGTGATTGATGACATGGTACCCAATTAAACTTTATGAGTTGATGGCAAACATTCTGTCTCTCTCTCTCTGTTGTGTAGTCTGTCAGACTTAAAACCTTGTGTTGCCCAAAATAAACAAAAGAGGTTTTTATACAATATCAATATCAACCTGTCTGAGTTAGATAATATATGTTGACCCAACTTGAAACTATTGAATGTGAATCATTGCTTTTCAAAGTTGAGCCAAGGTTGAAATGTTTTCAGAAAGTATTCTATTATTCAGCACATGTATTGGCAGTGAAGTATGTAATGGCTTGTTTGCACGAGCAGCATTCCCCAGGCTCCCCTTTGGTTGTTAATCTATATGGCAGTATAGCAAGGTAAAAGAAAAGGGCAATTTATGCAGACCTTGCAAAAAACCGGCTCAAATCACACTTGAAGTGACTGATGGGCACTATACCTTGAAAAATGAATCTCAGGGAGATGATGAAACACAAAACACTGTGGGGTTCTGGTATTTACCTGCTAATTCTTTTGATTCTTGGTCTCTTTTGGCAGCGCAATCCGCATCAGTCGGAAGGGATGGCATATGCTTCTCAACTTCTGTTTCCACACGGCTCTGACCTTTGCTGTGTTTGCCGGCGGCATCAATCGAATCAAATACCCCATCATCTGTCAAGCAGTAAGTGCATTCCCTTTTCATTCATCCCCCTCTCAAAGCTTGTCTGAAAATTGATTATGAAGGTTTATTCAGGTGTCGGCAACCAGAGAGTGCAGTATGTGGACGTATAGTAGGTCGGCTTTATGTGTTTTTTCATGCTTCAGCTGCATGTATGCTCCAGTCAGTCACATAGTAAAGTGTTGATACAATGAGGCCTGATCATTCAGGCCTTCCCATCATGAATGCACTCACTCTCTGTCCCTCTATTGTCTGTGTCCACTCTTGTTGCCTGGGGTTAGCTGTGGGCTTCAAATGTTGTATTATTTTTCCGGACATTTTGGAAAGTGGCTGTATATACACAACATTTTCTGGTCATTAGAATTCCACATAAATGTGTTTTTTCCATGGAAGTTTAGTTACCACACCGATGTTCATGAAATGACAGTATCACAGGTATTATGGCATGTTTATTTTAAGGCACAGTTTGGGGTTTAACAATTGTCACACTCATGAACAGGTTTTGTCAGTAGGTGGGCAAAAAAGAGACAGTGGTGTTCCAATAACTGTTGGATTGATTACCACAAGATTCATGGTCCCCAGAGGATGAACCCCACTGGCTTTTCCTCTAGGTCCACCAGCATGTCAATGTCTTCAGCTATCCTGTGAAATATCTTAACATCTACTAGAATCTGGTCAGACATTCATAGTTCCCAGAGAATGTATCCTAATGACTTTATTTTTGCGCTAATCATCAGGTCAAAAACTATAATTTTCCAATACTTTGGTTTGTGGTTAAATACAAAACTAATCACATTCCCATTAGCATCATTTATACTTTGTGTTTACGGGCTAAATAGCAAATGCTAGCATGCTAACACGCCCAACTAAGACGGTGAAGATGCTAAACATCAACGTGTTAGCATTGTCATTGTGAGCCTATGCTCAGAGTAGCATTTAGCTCAAAGCACCGCTGTGTACAGACTCATAGAGCCGTCACCGTGGCTGTTAGCTTTTCCTCTTATTTAAGATGATCTTGTCTGTGTGGACATTCGGTTGTCTCTCATTTGGTTGCAGATTAACACTACATGAATAGACGGAGGGGAAAAGGATTGTTGTCTGAAGTCTTTCTGGGTCGTCATACATACAGTATCATCTACTAGTGCATGAGATGATGGCTATAGGGAAGCCAACCCCATCTTGTGACGCGGCAGCACGTCCCTGCAGTTGGTCTTTCTGACCCTTTGTAATTGGTGTGTGGTGGTCACATGGGTGGTGCCTCCATCTCTGCAGCCCGCAGTTATGAATGAGTGAGCGAGGCTTGTGGGGGGGGGGAGATTTGGGATGTCAGGACAGATTTGGCAAGAAAGACAAATGCTTTCTTGCCTGCTGGCCCCTCGCTATTTTTAGGATGTTATACATCAAGAATGCAGGTGGGAGAAGGAGGAAACCTTCATAAATACAGAATGTAACATTGTAAAGGAACTGGGGGGGAGAAATAGGAGATTCTTGTTATATTGACCAGGGTGTTATTTGGAGTGTATTGCTGATGGAAATGATTCTGAAGAGACAGATAAGAGATCATACGTATGTTTGAGGTTGTCGAGTAATATGTTACTATTTGGTTGTTAAGCTTTATGGTCCCGGTGGTTTTCCCATCCAATTGATTGATAGCTGGACCTGTTCAGGTTGTGAGCATGAAACATCACCTAGAGCAGAGCATGCTCCACTGTCAGCTCACCTCAGCAGGGGGGCATTTACCGTATGTAGCCGCGAAGAGATTGATGTACACTTCTTTTTCCACTTTTGACTCTCCCGTTACAACCGCCTCCATCAACGGGCCATGTTCGCTCCCTTTATCGCGAGCCGCAGCGCTGCTTGGGGACTCTAGATGCCTCTCCCGCTGTCACAAGCACTTTAGGTGGCCCCTTATTCCACTGTGTAAAGACCCCGCCTCTACGTGCTGAAATGCAGAGCGTCGTATTTCATGCCTGAGCTGCAGAAGCACGAGGCTCGGTGACAGGGGAGTCCTTAAGAGGTCTGCACTCGCGTCGCCATCTGCCTTCCTCCACAGCTGTATAGCTGATGCAAAAAACTGGTGTTTGTCACCAATTGCAGCTTCCGTCACTCACCGGCTCCCTGCCGTTTACCGTCACCTTCATAACTTTACCATATGTAGTCACTATATGACTCTTTACTCTACTCGACAGTCATGCTGAGGATGTTCATACTCGACCTTTTGTCACTTAAGGCCCACTTCTGATTGTTAAAAAAAAATTATAATAAGAAAAAAAAGGATAAAAAAATAAGCTGGCTGTAAATATGTGTTATGCAACTGTCGGCTGTAATGACCAAAATAAATATTCTGCTTACCCTCACCCATCACTGCCTGCCGTTATGAATCCAAATTGAATGTAGTCAGGGTCATATTTCCTCACCACACGCTTTGGAGCTCAGAGTTGTCTCCCACATCACTTTTTTGTGTGTAAAACTGATCCGTTTTGTGTTGCTGCTCTAGCGTCTTTAGCCTCCATAATGTGATGTATTCCAGACATGTACATATCATCATGCAGTAACTGTCAATATACATGAATATTTGAACATACTTTACACGATCATCCAGCCCATGTATATCCATCCAGTATTTATTCCTTTTCACTTTAGTTAATGTTTTCAACTTACAGAAACACTTACCTTTGTAGTTTTATTACGCCGTTACTACGTAGCGCCCACTTCCCCCTCAGGTAGACGCTGTTAGCTCTGTCCGTGCTGTTAGCACCGTTAGCTGCGAGCTAGGTGTTGCCATGTTGAGAGCCGTTGAGAGGCAATAGAAATTCTCTTGTATATACAGTAAATCTCGTATAAAGCACCTCTTATATGCAGAGGACAAAGAATAGATCAATTAAACCTCAACCACATTCTTTGGAAATGTAGACACAGTTTTTGCCAACTTCCATCAAGCACACACTCTGACCAACAGAGATCGCTCCTCTAGCTACTGCGACCCACAAACTAATGACGGACTGTCAATCTCCCCAAATCCCATTTGATTACAGTCGCAAAGATTTGAATGTTTTACAAGATAACTGAACAATTAAAACTGGGACACAAATGAATGTGTTGTGTTTTTCTTATCACACTGCGTCTCTCAACCTCCAATCATTTGTTTGGAGGCAGCCAAAACACCACTTTGACAAATCATCACCGTCTTAGTTGATCCGGCGAAATTGTTAACAAACTGTTGCTTACTCACACATTCAGCAGTTACAAAGAAACGATTTTAATTCATTTAGAGTTCTGTTGTGTCCACCCTATGTTGTGTCCTTTAGCTCTGTTTTTGGTCTCTACCAGCTTCTGAGGGAAACATCTGTCTCTTTAGCAGCTAAAGGCTCCACTGTTTTTCCTTTATTGATGAATCTATTTGACAGGGACAATACATGGATGCATTGTTACATTTAAATAAAGTGCAACCGCTGCAATGTATGTAGGACTTCTAGCCGTAGCTACTTTGCAGACCTGGTGCCTGGTCAGGCTTTCACCAGCTAGTCGCTAAGTCGCTGTCCGGTGCTGAGCGGGTAGTGTGCAATGATTTGTTGCTTGTAACAAAGACCGAAAGCATCGCTATGAAAGCGGTGAGAGTGAACCAGAACAATACATGTTGTAGATTGAACAGCTGAACTCCATAAATCCAAGGGGAGCTGCAGGTGATAATTATCTGTAGGTTCATCACTACGAGTTACACCTTTCACATTCTCACATTGATTTAACATTGTTATTATAATAAATATGGACTCATGCAGATTTATTGTTTTATTGACCAGCAGTAAGATATTATTAAGAACAACATTCAGGTTTTCGTTATGTCACTCTAGCAGGTTTACGTCATTGTTTATTTGCTCCTGAATACGTCTAGATTTTTAGAAATAGAGAAGTCCACTAACGTACTAACATTTACATTTTATTTAACATGGCAACCCAAAGGTTTTAAATGCTAACCATTATGATGTATAAAACATTAATAAATGATGTATTAACCATGAATACAGCCACAAACCTTTCGTAAAGTATGCCTTATTCCAAACTGAAGTCCACCTCCTGCAGTGTGAGAGCAGGTGTTGTAGACTTTGTCGGCCCTGCTGCTGCTGCTCTTTAATTTAATATTTCAGTCATTTATCTAATTTTATCCCAGGGCCTCTGAATGTTTCTCGCTGCTCCTCCTTTACCCGATCACTGCTAACAGGACAACTCTCCACAGATTTGGGCAGGAGCCCAGATCGTCTGCTGCTCCGCTGGGAGGGAGGCGGACCCCCACCAGACACAATTTGGGATAATTACAGGATTGCATGAAGAGCTGCGTGATCGCACATTCAAATGCACTCGTACACGCGCTGCCTGCTGAAGTTCTCTCCCCAATCCCCCCCCGCCCACACACACACACATTGCACCCCCTTTCCCTCCTCCCAGGGGGACACATAAGTACACGCTCTCCCTCCGACAGAGGGAACTTCAAGGAGCTCTGAAACTAGCTTTGGCAGCTCTCGCCGCACTTCAAGCATGCACTCCCCCCACCCAGTCCTCCGCCCCTCAACCCTCCCCTCCTCCCTCCACCATCTCCACCTGCATCCCATACTCATCCTCCCGCTCCCCCATCTGTATGCCACTCTTCAGTGTTGCAGCCGCCTCCCCGACCCACCGTGCCACTGCCGCTATGCAGCATCCGATGTCTTTACGGCCTCAAAGTCAAAGTCGCCTCTGATCTCAATTTCTATCTTTTCTTCCGTCGCGGCTCATTTTGTCGTCGATTCGTGCTGCACCCCGGCTGTCACGCTACGTCCCCCTATTTGCTTGCATCGAGCTGCAGAACACACAGTGCATCCTCGTTTCCCCTCGCCTCACCTCGTCTTACCTCGGACCGTCAAATTTTGGATGAGACATCTCAGTTGATTGTTCAGGGAGTGTGTGACCAGCGTCAAATAACCTATTAATTTAGCAAAGAACTTGGTGAAGGATGTGACCTAGATCTG